GAATGAACCGTCGTTCTACTGAGTCGCATACCTATGGCGTACCTGATTTTTTTATCGACTCAAAACTCACCCGCGTGTCTGGTGCAGCACCTGATCCTCGTGACAGAGCTGATTTGCATCTCGAGCCAATCCTATTGTCCCCCGTTCCCCCCCTTCCCTGAAAATCCGTCGCCATGATGGTCCGTTGTAGAAAGCGGACTCCGCTTCGTCGGACGACCATCACAGACAAATCGGGCGACGTGCAAGCGGATCCGTCGAGACCCGTGCTCTGTGAGGTTCGGGGTGAGGCAGAGCCTGTGGAAAGGGCCACGGTATGGCGGCCAGGGCATGTGGTCCACCTGCGGATATTTCTCGAGAGTGTCGTCAGCTCATCGCCTCGTACCCGTGCTGCTGAGAAAGACATTGAAAGACAACTGACAGCCCTCCCTTTCATGCCTCATTCCTGCCAAACTCCCCTCCTAGATCTCGCAGTCCATTCCCCTCCCACCCAGTCCCAGCGGCTGTATATCTGGTGAAGTGTTACAAGGCGTGCTACCCTTGTATCTCTTCCTTCCGATCCCTTTGGTGTCACGACTTCGCCTGGGCTTCAATCCCTCCCTCAGGAGGCTCCATTGTGCGTCTGCTGCACAGCCGCACTTCAGCAAGTTACATTTGTGCCGCACTCCAAAGCCCGGAGTTCTCTCGGAGCTCCAAGGGTGCAACTGACTCAAGAGTGTAACCCTATTGGTTACGGTATGGCGCTGCACAGTCATTGGGCAAAGGAGATGGTGAGAAATCACGCCTTCAGAGTTTCACTAACAAAGAAACGAAGCCGTGATGATAATCATGGCGATACCAACAGTGACGGTGCTGCAAGCGGCAATGCATGCAGCCAAGATGCGCGCAGGCGCAGGATCCACCGCTCCTGTGCTTCAACTCCTGCAGCAGCGGTCCCGCCAGCCATGCTGCTTGCAGCATCTGCTGACAAGACAAGTCTCTCTGCTGACGTACTCAGCACAGAGATCACTCGGCACCAGCATGGGAGCTTCTCGATTCCAACCGGGTCAGCAGGTCGGCAGCACCAAGACGACCCGAGCCCCAATCGACGCTTTCCTCAGAGCCCGCCTTTTCAAAGAGCTGTTAGCGCCCCGGAACAACAGAGTTGTGTCGGAATCGTCTCTAAGTGCAGCAGCACGCGGCTGAGTTGGGCGGATTACTTTAGAAGCAAGGAGAGGCTGGGAATAGCGGTGCTGTCTGCGGAGCCACTTCAAACCCAGGGTGCAGCAATTCGCTGTGACGAAGCATGCAATGTGCGCACAGCAACATCAATGGAGGGATGGGCATGCTGGGGAAAGCCACTTGGTGCTCGAGCCATCATCCCTGACCTGAACCTTCCTGCCTGCGAGGCTGATGGCTTGACATGCTGCCCGGCCGTCGGATTCACGCATGCAAGACATTTCTCAGACACCACGCCGTCTCGTTCATCTGGAGTACATACAGCTGAGCTTCGAGGAACTAAGTTGGGCGAGTTGCACTTGATTGAACCCTTGTGGAAGCAGCAGCAGCAGCAGCCGCAACTAAAGAAACAGCACCAGCAAAAGCAGCAGCAGGCGAAGCAAGAGCAGCGAGAACAACTGCGCTGCCAGTGGAATGATTGCTTGGATACTGAGAGGAGAATGTTGATAAGGGAAATTATGAATTTTAGGAGAACGGACATCCCCTTGCTCTCGTAAAGCATGCATTGGCAATAGTTTTTGTGCATTTCCGTGTGCATTTGCTTCTAGAGTGGCTTGATTGAGCCTCTAATAAAAATGAAGGTATATGATCCCTATTATGTACCTCTGCATTTGAGGCTTTCTACCAGGAAGCGGAGAGTTTACTAACAGGCATGCTTTCGTCGCGCAAGCCCCAGCCATGTTCCACGAGAATTTCCCTCGTACGTTTTATACGGTCCAATTTGGTACCTCGAGGTTTCAAGCGGTGAACCACGGAAAGGATTTCCAGAGTTTTGCACCGTACATCACCGCATATAATGCATGGGCACACCTGTAATGAGTCCATTTCAATCTAGAAGGCAGCCACACTACGGAATGCGTACCATAGCAATCTAGCATTGCTCATTACCTTGCCATTGCTGCTTAGTAGCAGCTCGCTTTCCCTCCCTCCTTCACGCTAACCCCCAGCGCTATTATTTCTGCTCAGCGCGTCGAGATTCGAGCCGCGATGCAGATCTGCGTCAGTCGTACGCCTCAATCGGCGTTGGTGTCACCAGTCCGTGACACCATCGCTTCCAAATCTCATAATCTCCGTGCACCCCTAATCAACCGGTCCGCACCTTCAGCTAAGCCGCTACTGCTGCTTCGTTCATCACAATGTCGTCCCCGCCGCTTGCGGCGGCACGCGCATTTTGCCCCTCTCCGCGCACCCCATCGCGTTCCCAGCTCGTTATGTGCTCCACTCGTTATAAGGACCACGAGCCAGCGCGCTCTCCGGTCCGTTCACATTACGTCAGCAGCCCAAATTGATGGAACGAAAGCGGCGGATGTAGCGGGAGCGGATGCAGCGCAAGTTTACGTGACCGAGAAAACCGATTCTGACGCACACGCTCCGACTCCAGCCGCTTCCGCCTGGCAAGCATTTTCCGCCGCGTTTTCCGGCGAGTGGGCGGGATACTCCGTGGACTTCTCCCGCTTCGGCCACCCCTTAGAGCTCCCGCAGTCCGTCGTCCCCGAGGCGTTCCGCGACTGGGGGCTGGCGCAACTCGCCTGGCAGGCGCAGACGTCCAGCGCCGCCCGCGGGGAGAGCCTTGGCCGCGGGGATGCTCGGGTGCAGTCGTCGTTGGTGCGGTACGCGCCTGCTGCGGGGTGCGAGGCGGCGTCTCCGCCCAAGTACAGCGTGGAGAGGACGGCTCTGGAACTAGCTGCTGGTGGTGCTGATGGTGATAGTCGAAGCAGCAGTGCTGGAAGCACAGGTGCCGCGGACACCGCAGCTGCTGATGACGTGTTTGCGTTCACAGCGGACGGTTCATATCTGCTCGTCCGAGCTGGCCAGCCCTCCTCCATGCCCGCTCCTGCCAGCGTGGACGCCATGCGGGTCACACAGTGGGTGCCACGTGGCAGTGACGCCGAAGGCCGTGAAGCTACCGAAGGTGATTCAAACGAGGGGATCAGCAGCGTGGCAGGAGGGCCGTTTCAGGTGGAGCATTGCTTGGCTATGGAGGGCGTGGAAGCTGCGAGTGGCAGGGGAAGAGTGAGAGTGCGGGTCGTGCAGCAATTTCTACCAGCCAGGGGAGCAGGCGTGCCGCGGATTGCCAGCCTGGCACTGCACAGGGAGAAGTGGGTGGAGCCGTTTTCGGGCGGCGCTGAGCTGGCAGATGGTGCGGCACTGTTCAGTTCGGAAATGATTGAGGAGGGGGAGGGGAGTGAGGTGGTGAGAGAGGGGAGGTTAAAGGGGATTGAGGGGAGGTGGGAGGTGACAGCAAGAGAAGCCCAGTTGCCCACCGCTGTAAGATTTCTCTCAAGCTTTCGGGGGCTGTCATGCGTTTCCTCCATTTAATTGCTGGTTTCTGATTTTTTTTTAAATTTATTTTTATTTTTTTATGCACTTTGCTGAAGGTGTGAGTTATCACTCGACATAAAATCTATGTGAAATGAACACACTTTCACTTTTGATTGCCCCTTTTGCTGTCCTTTTCTCTTGTCGCTGTCCCATTTCCCTCCCCCCTTTCTCCACTGCCTTTGTTTCCCAACAGCCCCTTTGCCCAGCAGCCAGCCACCTCACCATCGGTTCTTGCAGTGGAGCTAGCTGGCTCAACGCACACAGAGCTGTCAAGACAGACGGGGCCCTCAGCTGCCAGTGCAATGCATTTGATTTCCCACACCCCTTTTGTCCAGCAGCCAGCCATCTCACCATCGGTTCTTGCCGTGGAGCTAGCTGGCTCAACCCTTAAGGAGCTGTCAAGACAGATGGAGGCCTCAGCTGCGGAGGATGGGACGCTCATGCTGCTGCCAGAGGTATGAATCTTGCAGGACAAAAGGAAGGGGATGAGTGTTTTGACTTTGGGTCGACTCAGAAGTCAACTGGGGTGGGGACCTCAGCTGTGGAGGATGGGACGCTCATGCTGCTGCCAGAGGTGGGGTGGGAAAGCCAGCAGGGCGAAGGGAAGGGGATGCGTCTTCTGCAGAGGAAGGCGATGAGATGGTGTGCCCACTTAGTCTCACTGTGCCGCATCCCTCCATGTCTTTGATCTTCACCTTCTTCTCCAACCCCTTCCCTCCCACCCCCTCCCCTCTCCCTATCTCTCTCCCTCTCCCTATCTTCCCTCCGCTTGCCATTCACTTCAATCCTCCTCCAGTTGTTGCTTTACATTTCATTCATGCTACCGCTCAAGGCTGTCCTGTTTCTGCCCACCGCTCTTGCTTTCTGCCACTTCTGCAACCCAGGGCGTTTGGAGTCACGTGCAACCATCAGAAGAAGGCTCGTTTTCTGCAGAGGTTGGGTGGTTGTTCTCGTCCAGCCAGGGATAGTATCTCGTGTTCACTTCGACCAATCAGGAAGAGCAAAGGTGTGTCTTAACGAGGAATGGCACTTGTAGGTATGGGGAGTTAGCAGATGAAGGAATGCTCAATCCAAGAGTGAACCTGCCCTCATACATGAATTCCCACCATACTATAAGCTCCACTCAAGTTTGTGTTTGTTTGAGTGCACTAACAAAGCCTGTTGTATTCCGTTTTGTTTTTGTGCAGAGTGCATCTATCTCGATGGAGAGGACACTTAATGCATTTATAATGCAGTAGCTGAATGCATTTATAAATTAAGATACGGTATCATTTTTAGCTACGTTGATATGCATGCCGACGTGTTATATTCGTGTAGTTATTCAACATACGGGTAAATGCCAGTTATTGCGGCTAGCCCAGCACACTCCTCGCAGGACTCATAGGGCACCATTTCAACCCTAGGACACACGGTCTACTTCAAGCCCTGGAGACATATACTAAACCTAGCCAACTTCATGGCTACCATCCCGTTGTTCAAGGCTTGCCCTACCTCGCTTCTTTGCTCTGTCGAAGTCAACATGGAGGTTTGTCAGGCTAGGCTAGACGGCATGGCAGCAATTCATGCTCTGGTCGTCGAAGCCATTAGATGCTGTCAATCTGCCTCTGCGGATGAAGCAGATTCCAGATGCATCACTATCTCGTTATCCAAAGCTCTTGACGTCAATTCAGTAGACAATGTTGAGGCTTCAAGAGGGACATTCGCGATAAATCACACTGGAGAGCCTTGGCGGACAAGAATCCCGCGACCTTCATCAATCGTCTGGTTTCGTCTTCCGCCTTCCAACAGACTGTTGGAGCACGCGATTTCCCACAAATTTCGTGGGGTGAGAACTTTGCAACCTTCTGTTGGGCATTGTCGTTCCAGTTCCTGACATACCGAAGCACCATCTATAGCCAACACAAATCTCCTTTACGGTTTGCCGTTTCCGCGTTCCACAGGTGACGCCGTTGCGTTGATGACCACAGGTAAGTGCTTCGTGTACATTTTCGAAGTGTGATGGACGTTCACGTGCGTAACCTGCTCAGGAATGAACGACACCGAGGTCAAGAGGTATGTTATTGACATTCCTGCTGAAGGCCAACCGACGTGGTCGCAACTCCCATCAATCGAGAAGCCAAAGGGAGCCTACTTCTCTGGCTTCGAGGTTTCTTTCGATTTTCACGGAGTCGTTGAGGATCTGCTTGAAAGTCCACGAGCTCATAGGGATGGTAAGTACATGTCGTCTTGCCTTCATTCATTGAACACGGCGGCCAATACTCAACGACGCTTCTCCGTTTGCAGGTGACCGTTCTTCAATCACAAGTATGCCAACTTCATTTGCTCTTTCGTTCCTTTGTGGCTGAACTGTTGCCTGACTTTTACAATCCTTTTCAGACTTCGATCGGCCTTTCCTTGGGAAATTTCTGCGACGAGTTTCAGTCATTGATTCATGACTTGCCATCCGCAACGAAAGAGACCGCCCCAGGATCAATAACGTTATCATATGCCCCAGATGACGATGACACCGAGTTCAGCAGTTTAGAAAGGTTTAAGTCAGGCGTGTCACAGTCATTGCTATTACAACGTGAAATTTGGTCTGCATTTAAAGCAGGGGCAACCAAAGGCTGCCCCATGCCTCGCATCAGCAAGCATGACTCATCGCTTGTGGAATCTGGACTGCGTTGCTGCGTACGAGAAGGATCAAAGGACAACGTAACAGTGAGTGAAGAGTAGACCAGGAAGCATATTTCTTTCCCACATCATGTTAGAAGATTTAATGGAGTTCATTGTGCTTTCAGGTGAAAGTGTTCAAAGACTGGTCGCCTCTTCTTGACGGAACCAGTGTAATAATGGCCTTGTCAGAAAGCAAACTCTGGAACAGTTTCGGGATCAGCATTGCGGATGCTGCTATTCACAACTTTTTTGGTGTTCTCCATGCGGGAAAGAGCTTTATGGAGAAACATCTCAGCATATTCCTCCATCTGCACAATGAACATATCTCATGGTAAGACCCTCTCCCCTGTCCCTATCTCTCTATCTACGTTGTCCTTTTCTACCCGGTGCATGCATTCTGAGTTGAAGCCCCCTCCTTGAGCACTTTTCGCAATGCAGTGTGAAACCCGAGAACGTCCCACAGAGAGTTCTGCCGAAGCTTGTCAAGGATGCAGTTGCTGCAGCTTTGCGGCAGTTGAAGACTCAGCTTCCTGGTGACTTCTCATCCGTACACCAAGCGAAGGTAGGCAAGAAAATCCATGCAGATTTAATTGTCGTTGAGTAGAGCACTTGACACCGAGTTCTCTTTCAGGTTGGGAATTGCTTGCCTGATTTGGCAACTAGCCTTGCAACCATAGTGATGGACTCCAGCAATCAGCATTTCCAAGAGGAGTGTTCCAAAATCTTGGGGGTTCAGGATGTCAACAATGTTGAAACAGCCATTCTGCAGCGGCTGAGCTCTATTTCATTGGCGCCTGATCATGGAGGAAGAATGCTGCCTTGTAAGCGCCAGCCTAAAAAAATGGATGAGATGGATGTATAGTGGGCACTGGATTGAATGAAGGAAGCCATGTTAACCGCGACAAGGGTAGTACAAGGATCCTCCTGTTATATTTTGAGCTAGTCCAAAGATGCTTTGATCAAGCACCACGCCTTTGGAGGGTTATATCCTTTCATGGTTAGCACATTGTGCAGTGTTTAGAACTTGAAGTGGCGAGGAAGAAAGGCGTACGCCGACTATTGTAACGCGTAATTCATCGAGCCAATCATAGATCAGGGAGAAATGGATGACGTGGTAGCACAGTATAACACGTCGTTTTGCCGAATGAGACGTTTTCATCAAATGGGGTAAGCGGTTGTCACGGGATTTCATCCAATCAAGCTTCTTCTCCCTCCTCATTGGTACCAGATTATCGCCTTCCTTTGGATCTGCCGGTGTGGATCCACGTCATCCTTCATGGAATCAAGCTGGCACTTTCGCCAGATGGGGCCCTCTGCTGAACATCCACCCGCTTGCGCGCATGTCTCGCCCTGCTGGGGGAAGAGGCAGAAGGGTCGCTGCACCGCACGCATTCAGCCAACCGAGCGGCGCCTGGGGTTTTGCCTGAGGCAGGCACACAGGCAGTGGGGGGGTAATTTTGCGCGACGATGCGGCGGAGACTCGCGTCAGGGCGGAGGATGTTGAGAATTCGAGGCGGCTCGAGCAGCCAGAGCCCGAAAGGAATCGCAGATTTGTGTGCTTCTCGTCCGTCCGATTTGCTCGGGCAGAGCACGAAATCGTTTTCTTGGCTCCATGGCATGGCGCTTGCTCGTTGGTCGCAGCCCACAACTCACACTCCATAGCCACAGCCGAACTCCCCCTTTTAGTCGATGCATCTCACGAACGGAGCAGAGAGGAGCAGCAGCAGCTGTTGCTAATTGTTGCGTCTCCGTACGTAATCCCGTCCTCGTGCAAGCGAGGTTTAGTAACGCAGCGGCCAAGTTAGGAGTTCTCTTCGGGGCTCTCTCCTCGACCGCGCTCACGAGTTCCGTCTGGGACCCGAGCTCTCTCAAAATCAGGAGCCAATTCCCATCTCTTGGGATTTTGTTAACCAGTGAAGCAGTATTTTCGGGCACCATGGGGCTTCACTCGCTATGCGCCATGGGCTGCCAGACCCCTTCATCTTCGGTTCTCGCTCCGTCATCGTCTCTCGTCCATTCGTCGCTACCCAGTTCCTCTCGCCCTTCTCGTTCCTCTGGCTCCTCTCGTCAAGTCAATTCTCACCGCACCTCGTCCGCGATTCCCTCCTCCCATGCCACTTCCTCCGCGTTTCACGGCGAGTTTCACGGCCTGCACCATCACCAGCTCTCGCGCAACCCCTCCGCCTTCTCCCTCTCGCACGCGAAGGCCTTCGACGAAGCTTCTGACCGTCAAATCAAGTTTCCAGCTCACTCCGCAGGACGCGAACGCGACGGCGGCTATGGCGGCGGCGGTTGCGGCAAGCGCGCGGTGGTGACAGCTGTCTTCGAGCGATTCACGGAGCGCGCGATTAAAGCCGTCATGCTGGCGCAGGCGGAAGCTAAGGCTATCGGGCGGAAAGAGGTCGCGACGGAGCAGCTCCTATTGGGTCTTATCGCGGAGGATTTCGCGAGCGCCGGAAAGCCCGGCGGGTATCTCGGCTCGGGAATGACTATCAGCAGCGCAAGAGATGCCGTCCGCGCAATGATTAGGGACGGCCGGCTGCCTGCCGCGGTTGGTCTGCCGGCTGGCAAGCCGGCTTCCGAGGTGCCGTTTTCGGCCGGCAGCAAGCGGGTGTTTGAAAAAGCGCTGGAAGAGTCGCGGAAGCATCGCCATAACTTCATCGCGCCGGAGCATCTGGCGGTGGCGCTGGTGCAGGTTGAACACGAGGGGGCGCAGCTGGTGATCGAGAGGTGAGAGAGTAAAACTGCAAGGCGGTACGTGCTGGTAACCAAGAGGTGAGTCGTAGATGGATTACAGCTGGGTTGCGGAGGCCTTATTTCCATCAAGTCTGTAGCAAGGCGGTACGTGCTGGTAACCAAGAAGTGAGTCGTAGTTGGACTACAGCTGGGTTGCGGAGGTCTTATTTCCATCAAGTCTGTAGCAAGGCGGTACGTGCTGGTAACCAAGAGGTGAGAACTGCGGAGCACCGCGCTAACAGTATCCCTCCCGAGCATCTGGCGGTGACGGTACATGCGGAAGCAGCGAAAAACAGTACTGTTTTCTCCTGATCATCTGGCGGTGGCGGCGCTGGTGCAGGTTGAACACGAGGGGGTGCAGCTGGTGATTGAGAGGTGAGAGCAGAAGGCGGCATGTGCCTGTAACGAGATGGCTCAGGAAGCATCGCCACAACACTACCACGCCTGAGCGGCATCTGGGTGTGGCGCTGGTGCGGGTTGAGCACGAGGGGGCGCAGGTGGTGATCGAGAGGTGATAGAGTGAAAGTGTAAGACGGTACGTGCTGGTAAATAAGAGGTGAGACTTGCGGAAGCAGCGCGCTAACAGTATCCCTCCGGAGCATCCGGGTGTGGCGCACCTGAGCGGCATCTGGTTGTGACGCTGGTGCAGGTTGAACACGAGGGGGCGAAGCTGGTGATCGAGAGGTGAGAGTAGAAGGCGGCATGTGCCTGTGGCGGTATGTGCTTGTAACCGAGATGCCCTAGGGAGCAGCGCGATTACAGTATCCCTCCGGAGCATCTGGGTGTGGCGGCGCTGAGAGGTGTGGTTATAAGATGGTACGCGAATGGTATTTGAATGTTCTGCAGATAGTCGGCATCCTCGCTCCACCTCGAATGGTTTTTAGATTGCCACTTTTTTGCGATGCGTTGTGAAGGAGGGGTGAGGCTTCGAGCCTTACTGCTTCGACGCGGCAGCACCGTGGGGTGACTCTTTAAGACTGGCTCCGGGGCATCTGGTCCCATCTCGCTCCCCACTCCACCCCCCGTCCCCATGTTCGCTCTTGAGTTGAATGGCTCTATAAGACTTATTTTCTCCGAGGCATCTGGTCCCGTGTCGCTCCCCACTCCAACCCCCATCTCCCATCTCCCATTTTCTCCGGCGCGTTTGAGTTGAATCAAAATCCTCTGGTCCCATCTCGCTCCCCACTCCCCATTTCCCATCTCCCATCTTTCCCGGCGTGTCACAGCCTGGGAGCGAGCAAGCATCGGCTGCAGCAGGCAGCGCTGGCGCGGCTCAAGGGCGAGCTCGATAAAGACGGCCGCTCGTCTGAGTCGCTCTCCAACCCCTCCTCTCGGCCTGCCAGCAGCAGCAGCGCTCAGCCTAAGGCAGTCAGCCAGGCAGCGAACAAGGGGCGCGGAAAGAAAGGTACGCCTCAATGCTGCATGCTGCCCCTTCGGTTTCTTTCCACATTCGCGTTTCTTGCTTAGTGTTGCTCTGGCGTAACACTCATCCCACCTCCACCTCCCCATCTACCCACCTCCCCCACGAGCAGCCCAGCAGAGTGCTTTGGAGCAGTTCTGCACGGTCCTAACAGCCAGGGCGGTGAAGGGGGCTGACTAGTCAAGGAATGTTCTCCCAACAATCCCCACTCCTGCTGTTCTCCTCTCCCTCCCCACTCCTCCTCCTCCCTCCCACCACCATTTCCCCCACGAGCAGCCCAGCAGAGCGCTTTGGAGCAGTTCTGCACGGACCTAACAGCCAGGGCGGTGAAGGGGGAGATTGACCCTGTGATTGGAAGAGAGGAGGAGGTGGCTAGGGTGGTGCAGGTGAGTGTGATTATATGTTCTTTAGTGTGATTGTGAGTTCTTTAGGGTGGTTGTGTGTGGTTTGGTGTGATCATGTGTTCTTTAGTATGGTTACGTGCTTTTTAGGGTAATTGTGCGTGGTTTGGTTGTTACCAAGAGATGTGGGTGTTTTGACAGCCAGGGCAGTGAGGGGGGAGATAGACCTTGTGATTGGGAGAGAGGAGGAGGTGGCTAGGGTGGTGCAGGTGGGTGGTGATGTGGTTGTAAGGAGATGGGACCATAATGGGGGATAGTGCTTGGGGCATCTAAAAGCCATGGCAGTGAGGGGGGAGATAGACCCTGTGATTGGAATTTGGAAGAGAGGAGGAGATTGCCAGGGTTGTGCAGGTGAGCGTTGCTATTGTGAACAGAGGATTGTGAGTGTGTTGAAGCGTGATTGTAACGGGCAGACAGCAGTAGCTGGGAGTGTGTTGACAGCTATGGCAGTGAAGGGAGAGGTAAAACCGGTGAATGGCCGTATTTTGTTAGAGTTGTGCTGGTAGGTAGGTTGTAAATGAAAGTGATTGTAACAGGTACGTTCTGGTTTGACTGTATACAAGTGTGATCGTAACAGGCTGCAGCTGTAGCTGGCTGTGTAGCCCTGTGACTGGCTGAAAGGTGGTCTCACGAGGGTGCAGGTAGGTGATTGGGGAACTGTATGGAGATGTGACTGTATGGAGATGCGACAGCATGTAAGCTCCTGTAAGAAACCCGTTATTGCTGGGGAAGACGATACTATACATTGTTTTGCATTCTCATTTCCCCTTCCCTGTCCTCCTGTGTTCCGCTCCTCCCTCTCGCCCCATTAAAGCCCGAGTATCACGTGGTTCAAACCTTATAGATATAAAATTCACTGCACAGTGGGGGGTTCAGGGTTGGGGGGGGGGTGGGAGAGATTGGTTGACGGGTTACTTGCGGGGTTTTTCGACAGAAGTGACGAAGTTTCCGTGCGACTAAAACCCATCAAGTAATAACAAAATCCGGCCAGGAAAAACCCCTGGCCCGATTCAACAGTATTTTGGCATGCCGTGGCCTGAAGCACCTCTAAAATAGTTCTTCAACCACCTAAAGTTGAGGGCTTCTAATTTGCCAAACGAAGTTACCAGTTTGGGAGCGTGTTAATTCCTGCTGTGAGGATCCTTGCCCGTCGCACCAAGAACAACCCTCTGCTGCTGGGGGACCCAGGGGTGGGCAAGACGCATAGACCTCTACTTTCCTCGTCCTTCTCCTCCCATTCCTCCCATTCCTCCCATTCCTCCCATTCCTCCCATTCCTCCCATTCCGCCCATTCCTCCCATTCCTCCCATTCCGCCCATTCCGCCCATTCCTCCCATTCCTCCCATTCCTCCCATTCCGCCCATTCCTCCCATTCCTCCCATTCCGCCCATTCCTCCCATTCCGCCCATTCCGCCCATTCCGCCCATTCCGCCCATTCCGCCCATTCCGCCCATTCCGCCCATTCCTCCCCTCTCAGATCCTTGCTCGTCGCACCAAGAACAACCCGCTGCTGCTGGGGGAGCCAGGGGTGGGCAAGACGGCCATAGCAGAGGGGCTGGCTCTGCGCATTGCTGAGAACGACGTGCCTCGGTTCCTGCAGGTGAGGGCTCTTGCAGGTGAGTGGGAGTGGGAGTGTTGTTGCAGGTGAGTGGTCTTGCCGGTATGCACTACGTTACAGCCAGGAGTGCGCAAGACAGCCATAAGACAGCCATAGCAGAGGGGCTGGCGCTGCGCATTGCAGAGAATGACTTGCCACGCTTTCTTCCTCCCTCCCTCTTCCCCCCCCTTCCCTCCCCCCCTGCCGGTTCACCAGGGAAAGCGCCTGTTATCTCTCGACATGGGGCGGGTGACGGCAGGAGCGAAAGAGAGGGCCGAGCTGGAGCTGAGGGTCACGTCCCTCGTAGCAGAGGCGGTGGCGGAAGCAGGGGAGATAGTGCTGGTGATCGACGAGGTGCACTCTATGGGCCGCTCTTCCCTGTCTTTCCTCCCTCCCTCCCTCCCCACCGCATCCCCTGTCACCAGGGAAAGCGGCTCTTATCTCTCGACATGGGGCGGGTGATGGCAGGAGCGAAGGAGCGGGGCGAATTAGAACTGAGGGTTACTTCCCTCGTGGCAGAAGCGGTGGCGGCTGCAGGCGAGGTGGTGCTGGTGATCGACGAGGTGCACACGATGGTGGGCGCGGGAGCCGTGGGGAGGGGCAGGGACGGAGGGGGATCGGGCCTTGATATCTCCAATCTGCTCAAGCCGGCACTCTCCAGGGGGCAGATTCAGGTGCGAGGGTCAGCGGTTGAGTGCGGTGGAGTGTGGTGATGCTGGGAACTGTGGTGCTGGTGATAGACGAGGTTCACACTATGGTGGGGGAGGCGGGGGCTGTGGGAAGGGGCAGGGACGGAGGGGCGTATTCAGCAGGACGGGATACCTCGAATCTGCTCAAGCCAGCACTCTCCAAGGGGCTGATCCAGGTAAGAAAGGATACATGTGTTTAGTGTGGTGGAGTGCGGTGCTGGTGATTTGGGGGGGTTCAGGTCATCGCCACCACGGAGCACCGCTGGCCCTTGGAGCAGGTCAAGGCACTGACCAGGCAACTGCTGCCGCCTTTCTCCTCTTCCCCTCCCCTTCCCCACCCTCCCCTGCCTCCCACCCTCCCTGTCATGTGAAATTGTAACGAAGTGACTTTTGAGTCAACTCAAAAGTCACCAGGCAAGGCAACTGCTGCCGTCTATTTCCCCTTCCCCCTGCCCTTCCCCGCCTCCCCTCCCCGTCCCTCCCCTCAGGTTATCGCCACCATTACCACCGCTGACTGTCGCAAGCACCTGGAGAAGGACAAGGCATTGGCCCGCCGGTTCCAGCCGGTCCTCTCCTCTTTCCCCACCTGCGACCACCCTCTCCCCTCTCCCCTCTCCTCTCCCCTCTCCCCTCCCCTCTCCCCTTGCGCAGTGCATCGCCACTACGACCACCGCTGAGTTCCGCAAGCACCTGGAGAAGGACAAGGCTCTGGCCCGGCGGTTCCAGCCAGTCACAGTGGACGAGCCCTCAGAGGTAAGTGCGATGATATGTTTTTTTTAATCACTGATATGAGAAATTATCAACTATAATCAAGAAGTATAATGCGTTGGCCTGACGATTTCTGCCAGTCACGGTGGATGAGCCCTTGGAGGTAAGCAGGGAGGTGATCTTATAACGGGGATGTGATTATTTGTAACATGGTGGAAAATGATAAATTTCAGGGCACTCGGTTTCAGCCAGTGACGGACGAGCCTTTGGAGGCGGGTGGGAGGCTTGATCGTATGCCGATCTGGAGTCGAGTAGGATTCTTGATCTTATTAGCCGCCCTAGCAGACTGCAA